TTTTAATATTTTTAAATTTTAATTTTGTTCTTTTATTTAATAAAATATTGTCTTCCTCGTAGGGCGTTATTCATCGAGACATCAAATCCGATTCCATACTACTGGCTGCCGACGGTCGAGTCAAACTCTCAGATTTCGGCTTCTGTGCGCAAGTCTCGCAGGAGCTACCGAAACGTAAATCACTCGTTGGCACACCCTATTGGATGTCACCCGAGGTAATATCGCGTTTGCCATATGGTCCCGAAGTCGATATCTGGTCGCTCGGCATTATGGTCATCGAGATGGTGGACGGCGAGCCGCCCTTCTTCAACGAACCGCCGCTACAGGCAATGCGACGCATACGCGATATGCAACCACCGAATTTGAAGAATGCTCACAAAGTCTCACCACGACTCCAATCGTTCTTGGATCGCATGCTGGTACGTGATCCGGCACAGCGTGCCACTGCCGCGGAACTGTTGGCGCACCCATTTTTGCGACAAGCGGGGCCACCATCGCTCTTGGTGCCCTTAATGCGCAACACGCGGCAGCATTGAGGGAAAGCAGTCTTCCGCCTACAAATGCAAATCGAATATATGTATATGCAAGTAAAACTTAATTATCATTAACCACACAAACTCCCCCACACACATACATAGCCATACATACAAACATTACATAGATTCATGTACACACGCTAACATTTCGGCAACTACTTAATACGCGAACGAATTTAAGTATTACTCAAGCAGCATTTGAAAGTTATTTAATTACTTTATTGTATGTAGCGTTAGAAGCGAATATTTAACTCCTAACCATTGTTTTTGCTTTTAAGTTTTGTTTAGTTTGTAAATCCAAATGTTTTTTTTGTTTTTTTTTTGTTAAACATTATAGGCTTAACTTCCTTTCTGCTACACATAGACACATACACACACGTACCGACATTTTTTTTTTTTTTTACATATATACATGCGCACTCGCATTTTTGTTGTGTCCTTAATACAGTCAATTGTTTGTTAATATGTCGTAAAACAAAAACAAAAAGATATTGCTAATCCATCAAAGATACAGTTTTATTGTATCCACTAATTACTTAAGTCCTTAAAACGTACACAAATGGCAGCTAAAAAACATACACGAATCGAATATTTTATATTGCTTTCATATAAAAAATTATGTAATTTAAAAATATATTTACCAATGTACATATTGGAATTAAAAATTGCAGTGAAAGTAGTAAATTGAGATAAAAACAAGAAATTATAAAAGAGCACTTCCAAAATTTATAGTAAACAAAAAAATTTAATTAAAAAACAAAAATTTCACTTAACTGCGACGAATAACTAACAAACATAAAATGTAAATAACTCAAAGAAGAATCGATAAAAAAAACTTTCGAAAATAATGCGATAATAAGAGAGGAATATAATAGCGTACAATTCATGAAAATTACAATACATCAACAAAAAGAATGAGAAAGATCTTTAAACTTCCAATTATGCTAATACTAAATTTTTTAAAATTCTTGATTTTTGCTGAAAAATATTTTTGTTTTTCAAATTCTTATTGTTTTGCTTGAAAAAACTTTTTTGCAACTAAAGTGAAAATGCTTTAAAACCCGATAATGTGCGTTTCCCCAAAATCAAGTTTTTTTTTTAACATTTCAAATACTTCTTTTTATTAGTTTTTACAAGTATTACAAACAAAAACAATGAAAACAATCTATACGTGATGAACAGATCAGCATATTTTTAAAAATATCAAGAGTGTTGCAAACTATTTTGGAAAAAGCAATGACCATCTAATTTTTTTTTTTTTTTTTTTTTTTTTTTTTTTTGTGAAATTGTGAAACTGCAAGCCTTAAACAAACGTGACCTTATAAACGAAGTCAAACAGATAAACAACAATTATTCATTGAATACTAATATCATGTGTTAGAAAAACAAAATCATGCAACAAAAAGTTTGAACCCAACATTCCTAAAAATATGGATAAATTTTTGACAAAAAACAAAAAGAAAAACCCCTATAACATTTCGAAAGAAATTGCAACCGCACTTCGTTTTTATTCTACATTTTTTATTATAGTTTGTTGTGAAGTCATATGAATGTGCGGCATTCAAAATTTGTGTATTCTATAAGAATGCACACACGCGTTTAAATGTCGAAGTACATTTTGTATATCAATTATTGCTTATATATATAATATATATTTAACAATATACATTTAACTAATATAATATAAAAATATAAATATAAATACATAGGCATACAAGCAAGTATGCATATAATACTACATACATACAAACATCGAATAAATATGACGTAGGTTTTAGTTTCTGTTAGCAAAAAAATGTGTAAAATGTTAGTTTTTTTTTTATTTTTGTTGTAAAGCAACATAACATGCATAAGCTAATGATTTAACGGAAATAATTTTTGAAATATTACATATTAGTCGATGTGTGCACTTCTATTTTCAAAAATTCGAACATACAAAAAGTTTCACAAAAATAATATTAATATACACAACTTAAAAAAAATAATAATTTGGTAAAAGTGGAGACTTGACTAGAGCATTAAATGCTAACTGCAATAAATATTTTATTTCATAAAGTAACAAATGTTATTAATGCTGCCTGCACATTTGAATGTAAATTTTAACACATAACCACCTCGAACCAAAGGTCACATGTTCGAAAGTTCGAATTTTTAAAATTTTAACTGAAAATATTTCACTAACCGTCACTTTGATGTGTTCGAAAATTCGAAGTTTCAAAATTGCAATATTTTCAAAATATTTAAAAACACATTAATTGAAAGAAACAAACGTAAGATCATCACAATTTTTGTATGTGATGAAAATTTTTAAAAATATGAATATGCAAACTTAATTGTAAAAATTATTAATTTCCAGCTCTGCTTCAATGTTAAAATTTATTTTTGTACATTATAAAATTGGAAAATTTGCATGTAATAACTTTCTAAGAGACATTTTTTTTTTTTGAAAATAGTAACGAACAGTATGTTCGAAAATTCGAAATTGTAAAATGTACGCGTAGCTTTAAGATATTTTTTTTAACCAATGGTTGAAAGTGGACGCCGGATTGATGCCGCAAACGTATATACTTCCCAGCCCTCAGCGAGCAAATTGAGATTTCTGCACACACTACATGGTTCAGCAAAAGGATTCGCAACTCTCTCTGCTGCAGTATGTAAGGATACAGAGATCGCGTTAGCAACAGTCGCACACAACATCCGCAACACCACATCTTCAACTTGATATACTGGCAACATATAGAGGCATCGATCGGTCTGTGGTAAACTACGCTGCTCCAACTTGTACGATGGAAGCTAGTAAAATGCCGTGGAGAAACTTCCAAAACTAATTCAAGGCGCTACTCCTCTCACTGCCACTGAATAACGTCCACTTATGTCATCTGAACACATCTCGTGGGATCTGGGGTTCTATCCAGGTATCTTCTACTAGCCATTGCGGCAGTCATCTTATCTACTGCCCAATCCATCAAAAAGTGTAATAGTGGCATTTTCTTCGCTTGAAAAGAAAAATACAGTACCCTTGAAGGCTTTACGCGTCGCTGACAAAATATAGAGCCACGGCCGGTCTATAATAAATTATGAAACTCATTTTTGATTCGCGGGAACGAAAGAAACGCCGTGGAGAGCGGCGTTTTGTTAGGTGTTTCCATGACGGCTCAATAGTTCCCGCGACGCAATATGAAGCAGTTTAATTCTTTATAGACAGACCAAAAGCCTGTTTACATTGCCAGTAAATGAATGAGACGGATGCACACCAAAAAGCGCTGTGCCGATTTGTGCTAAGCCTACCTCTCAATGTAGAGCTTCCACAAAAAAAATGCAAAAGATAATGTGCTTTCCAAGTAATGCTGTATTTCTCTTTTTAATTCTCTAAGAAATATCCTCTATCTTACTCAGGCTTCATTGTTTTGGTAACCTAGAAGGAAATACCTGGATAGAAATATAAGTTCTGATGATAAAGAAGTGTGACACCAAAGAAAGCCGCGCGTTGAGGTGTAGCGACTTCTCCACCGTATATCACTAGTTCCCCTTATACAATTGGAGCAGCACCAGTTACTACAGATCCACCGAAGCTTTTATATGTTGCCAAAAAACAGGGGGGGGGATGGTCGATGTGTCCCTTTGAAATAATGTTTTGTAACGCGTTCAACACTCCTTCCCCTTTCATTTGGTCATTTTGGGAAAGCGCCCCCCTCATTGACTGGCTTGCAACATATCAGACATCGATCGAATTGTAGTAATCAAAGCTGCGGCCGTTTATACTTCGGGAACCAGTAAAACGACGTAGTGAATCCTCTTAGAGCTTACCCAAAACGTAGCCCCTCTCACCACCACTAAAATAATACCTATTTATGACGTCCCCGCTTTTTTTACACACCACATAGCAAAGTAGAGACATTTTCTATAACTGATAAGAAAGTCGAAGCTTCATTTGAAGAACGCGTTGATTTGCAAGGTTTATGTAAGGGTGACTGAGTTGTGAGCTCGAGCCGCGAATTGTAGATTCTGCTTCCCTTTATTGGCTTACTGACGGCATATAGAGCCGTAAACATACAGTGGTACGGAGAGCGGCGTTTATTGGAGGTTTATCCACGACGTTCCTTACAGTTCCGCGTTGCGTTGTGGAGCGCTTTTGTTTATTGTATTGCTTCAGTTGCAAATAAACATCACTCGGTAATGCATTCTTCAAATGAAGCTGTTCCTCTCTCTTCAGTATCGTGACAAAAGGAGGCTAGTGGCGGTGAGAAGAGCTGTGCTTTTGTCAATCTAGGGGTTCCATCTCGCCATTTTACTGGTGTTCCCGGCTTCCAAAGTCCAAATGCTGAAAGCACAGGTTACTGCAAACCGATCGATGCCTTTATACGAGGCTAGCAAAGTAATGGGAGCGGGCGCTCTCCCAAGATGATAAAAACTAAGCGCGTTCCAACGATGAGCACTTGCTGTGTATCCGCACGGCTTCTTGTAGGAGAGGAAATGTGTACGTATGTGGCATCAATCTTGGTGGGAGCGCATGTGCAGGCAGGCTAACTTTTTGATTCGATTTAAAATTTTTAGTTACAATGGTTATAGGTTATACAAAAAAAAAAAGGTTTACATTGATCGTTCACTTACTAGTTCTACTGTTAGTATAGTGGAAATACTGATAATTCTGCTTAACAGATACGTAACCAATATACTCCTAAAAATATAAGTTAACAATAATTAATCATAAGAACATAATATGAAATGCTCGAGTGTTCGAGAATCACATACGTAATCCAACGAGTTGCGTTAGAATTTTTTTCGAATTCGGCTAGTTAGCTTTCAGGAGCTATTTCCAGCTAAAATATTCTGCGCGAACCTTTCCCTACTTTCGCTTCGGTTTTTGTACTTCGTGAGCTTTCATATGATGACCCGCTCATCTAGCACCTTTTAAAGTCTGTTGTAGCTTTTGCAAGCAGCCTCTCATGCGATTATCCTCGCCGGCACCCCGTTTCTGCTCCACAACACGCATCTCGGCCAGCAAAAAATCCATGATTTGCAGAATCGTATCCGGTGTGAATTGCGCCAAACGTTGCAACAGTTCGAAAAAGAAGAACGTGTAGTAGGCAAGATGCTTCTTGGTAAGTAGCCGCAAGTGCTCAGCAAGTAATTCTTGCAAACCGGCTGCGCGCTTATATGTTGCACTGTTGACAATTCGTTTAAACAGATCCAGCAAGAGCCCGCGACTGGGCACCACTTCGTCCACCATCATAATGTGTTCCAGCATAAGCAGCGATGTGGCTTTCATGAAGGTTTCCAAACGCTTCGTTAGTGTGTCGTCATTGGTGTTATTGGCGTCTATAGATTCAATTACTTCTTGGAAAATAGTCACCACCAAACAGGCATTTGGATCTGCTTGACGACGCTGTGTGGCTAAGAACAGGCTAGTGAGCTTCTCGAAGACAAATAAAGACAACTCAGCGTTGTCGCTTTGCAGACAGCTGACAAAGGGGCGTGCGACCATTTTCGCGTTCGGTGAAATTTTGAAATGTGGCGTCCACTTCTGTATGAGGTCGGTGAGCGTTTTACTGATATAAGGATCGGCTTTGAAATTGAGTCTGCCAATGCCCTGCACGAGCACAGGCCAAATTTTGTGCACCACTTGCGCCAATTTGCCATCCGGCGCTTTGCCCATCTGCACATTGGTGGGCAGCACGAAGCGCGTCATGACCACGTGGAAGAAACAGTTTACGTTGGACTTGGTGTAGACGATGTGCGCGCAATTGTATATAACTATGGCAAGGAAACTGTAGAATCGAAAGGCTACTTCGGTCTTCTCCTGCTTCAGATCGACTTGCAGCCATTTGTCGAAATTACGCAAATACGCATTCAAATTGTCTGCAATGCGAAAACGCCGCTGATCGTGCGCGGCGCATGCTTCGTAATGTTTGCCAACAGCGGCTATGAAGACACAGAGTGGTTCTTTTGCTTGCAGCAGCTCTTCGGGGCTCAAATTATCGGTCATCATTCGAAATTCGGCTAACTGCGACACATAACGAGTCAATTGTGCCACATCCTCGTTGACAGCGGTCAACTGTACTAAACTTTTCAGCCACACATGTATGACCACATTCGGCTCGATTAACGCGGCGCGCTCAGTTTGCAACACTTTATTTAGGTATTGCGGCAACGCCTGCCGACATGCAACTGGCGCTTCAATGAAGCAATTGAATAGTTTCTGAAACGTCTGTGTATCCGGCACAGTGCAGGCGTGCGTAGAAAAGTCCGCGGCGAGCTGTGGCAGCCATTGACTGTAGCCGTAAGCGAATTGTTGTTTAACAAAAGGTAGTACAAGCGCATTGAGTGCTTTTAAGAGCTCCGAGTTTGACTCGATCAGCGCTTCGCTGCGCTGTAATTTGCCGAATATCAGATGTAACGCCTCCAAACTGCGATCCTGTTCTACGGGCGTGCAGGTCTGCAGATAATTCGGCAGCCACGCGTCTATCAGCAAGTGTTCGCCGCGACGAAAATCATCGGCGTGCATGAAAATTTCCAACAAACCATCCGCCAACACTTTTGAAACGCTCAAATCGTTATTGATAGCAGTGAGCTGCTGCAGCAGCTTCGTCGCATACTCGCCGATTTCACAGCGTCGCTCAGCGTAGAGTATCAATAGCGCCATATGACCTTTGGCAACTGCAATTTGGCGTCCAGCTGGTATTTTATCCAAAGCAATCGACAGTAATTTCGCGCTCAGCTTCGGTGCAAGCTGTTCGAAATCGCCGCAAATTGCTAGCGCCAGAAATAATTCTATAAGATGATGTATGCCCATCTCATTTAGCGCGAGAAACTTTTGTGCACTGAATTTAGTGTAAATACGACCGAGCAATTTTTGCGCTTGATGACGAGTCGCTGCGCTTTCTAATAGGCGCATTAGATTTTTGCCTAACAAAATGGTAAATAGTGTGTAACTACTCAAATTGGCATCAGCCGTAAGTTCTTCTTGTTTAAGGAGCGCGCGATAACGTTCCACATATGCCTTGCCGCTGGCACAAGCTACCGCCAAGTTGCTTGGTGCTGAACCGGCAGCATAGAAGGAAGTATTCAGACGTTTGTGGAAATGCTCCCACAGTAAAACTGGTATGGCGACGCGTGGACGCCACCAATTCAGCAATGTAGGCATAAGTAGGCAAATATATACGCGCGTCTGCTCTTCGCTGGGATTACCGATAAGAAACTGTTGTGTGCATTGCTCAAGCGCATCCACATTCTCCGCTGTATCTGCCAAAGCGCGCTCGTGACTTGGTCCGACATATTGTCCATTGGAACGATAGCCAAAAAGTCGCACTAGCGCATGTAGCAGCCAATTTGTGAATTCAGCCAATGATAAGCTTGTTAAAGAAAACTTATCTAGCATGAAAAATTAGTTTAATATTCAAAATTCTCAAATAAAAGTTGTTACGTACCCAATTTGGTTTTAAATTTCGTTATCGTTTCGTTAAATAGTTGCCAGAAGGTAAGTTGTTCAGTGGTCACAGCAAAGCTAGTCAATGTCCACTTCTGTAAAGCGAGTTGCACATACAACCAACATTCTTTAATACATGTACACGGAAAAGGCGAAGCATATAGCAGCTCAGCCGGCCGTTTTTTTCCATACAAATACAATGAGCAGGTCATTAAATCCTCGAAGAGTAGTGTCAATTGGTTTATGAAGGCGCTGCTAGGCTTTGCATTGTCATCCAATAGTACTTTAGGAGCACACAATTCGAATTTGTAAAGTATACACAAATCCAATAGTTTCCACTCAAGTACACCGTGCAACAAGTGGTAGGCGGCAGCATTGCAATCATTGCCTTTACAACTACTGGCGAAATATATTAACTTCAAGGTATCTGCTTCAGTTGTGCGATTAACTAAATGACGAATGCTTTCCAAGCTAGGACGCAAAAACGACCACTGTTCGTCGGTTACGTGGACGAGTATCCAATAAAACATATGTGTTACTTCTTTCCTACGTTGATAGTGGTTATATGTGTAATTTGTGTTAAGCGGTTGTCGTACACTAGCCCATAGATGTTGAATATGCATACTGGAAAGAAAAACGCAAATGACATTGTATATATATTCGAGTCCATATACGTAAATATTTGCATACCATGCTGTGCCGATAAGATATTGCACATTATTGTGTCCAAGCAACTGTTTTAAGCTAAATTCAAATTCTGTAAGTGTTAATCCTGCGCTTGCATCACGCCAAGCATATTCAGGGCGCGTTAGCATAAAGCCACTTCTGACAAATCCTTCACTAGCGAACTTAGCATGGGTAGTATCCTCACCACTACATTGTAGTTCAGGTAAGACAGCTTCTTCAACCACACAATCAAATGTCTGTGACTGCTGTGGTGCCGTTAGTTGACCTCGTGTTGCTTCTTTACAAGCGGTACTTAATAAATCATCATCTTCATCGATATTAAATAGTTCAAAATCCATTAGTTTTATTAAAATAAATAACTGCTAAAATAATTAAAATACCAAAGCACAACACTAAAACGTAAATAAATTACAGATCGGCAAAATTTGGCGCTCTAATGAAGTGTGCGTTCAGGAAAAACTATGTATGACAAGCAATGGAGTATGTTCAAAAAATTATATTTTACAATTTGCAAATATATACAAAAATGGATTCCACATTTTCACGCTTTATGTTGAAAATTAATACGGCAACACTGATTTATGATTTGTGAATCTTTTCGTCGCCATTACTACGTTCTACAACGATTTGCGGATAAAATTAAGTTTTATTTATTTTAAAGTCTTTAATCACTTAAAAAATGTCAAAAGCACATCCCCCAGAGTTAAAAAAGTGAGTGTTTAAAGCAAATAAAGTTTGTTTCTATTTAAACAGCCGTTTTCTTGTTTTTTCTTTTACTGAAGATATATGGACAAAAGAATGTTGCTAAAATTGAATGGAGGCCGGTCTGTTGCTGGAATTCTGCGTGGTTTCGATCCCTTCATGAATGTAGTGCTCGACGAAACGGTAGAAGAGTGCAAGGATAGTACGCGAAATAACATTGGCATGGTGGTAAGTTATTGAAAACAACGCATGTCGCATAATTTTCTCAAAGCTATTCTCCCATTTAGGTAATTAGAGGCAACAGCATTGTCATGGTAGAAGCGCTTGATCGAGTATAGTACGATGATAAAAGCTTAGCCATTCCCCATCTTAATTTATGTTTATAACAAATAAAAGTGAATTTAAATATCTGGAAAATATTTGTCTTATTTATTTAATAATACTAACAGTGAAGCTACAGTACTCCATGGCCAATTTCAAGTCCGTTCCGGATCTTTTTTATCCGGCCAAGGACTGTCAACTCGGCAAAATTCTGCCACTACAATTTTCAGGTACATAGCTTGTAAAGAAGTTCACATACATAATTACAAAACTATGTATTTATCAACTAATTTTGTATATCGAAGGCACTTTGGGATTCCTTTAACAGACCGAAACCATCTCTCATTTACAAAAGCAAGCAAGGAAATTTCGTCCCCATAATTCATCTATTTGTATTATGGGCATTAGAACTATAATATTCTTAAGATGTTTAATCACTTTTGAACTTCATACATTAATTTGAGGGATTTCGCACTGGTGGAAATTATAAAAAGTTTTTGTTTGTATTTTTTTTTTTATTCACGTAAACAAAGGTTTTCTCCAAATTAAAGCGGTATGACAACTTTGCGCAAACCACATAACTTTTACCCTGTATTATGCATATTTTTATTATTAAATTACTTGGAAATGACAATAGGTCCCGACAGCTTCGCCGCATCACGTTGTTTGCTCACGATTTGGTTTGCAATACGATCCAAGTCACGCTGACCAATTGGGGTCAATCTACGACCACCATCGGGGTGCTTTTCAATAAGGCGGGCATGCTCCAAGGATTGCAAAGCCTTGCGTGCAGCACCGTCAGCGGCCCGACAGAAGTGTGATGGATGCACACCATTACGTTTACGGCCACCGTAGATCTTTGTAATGGAACCAACACCAGCTGGACTGCGATGGTACAAATGACGCAAGATTGATGCACAACGAATGTAGAACCAATCAGGGTCCGATGGAGCCAATTCCTTGAATTTAGCGGTCTTAATGATGTCCATTTGATCGGGCACCTTCAATTTACCAGTCCTATCGGTAGGAACAAAACATAAAAATGAGGTTAGCATATTTCTTGTCACAAAATATATACAAAATTGAACACCTACTTCTTCAAGAAGACGGCTACGGCCTTAACAACGGCATGTTGATCAATATCCTTTACTGTAACGCCGGGCATCTGTTGAAAAGAATAACAATTTACAATTAATTTACTTGTAATCACGTTGCACATTTGATTCCTAACATGACGCCAAACGACGGCACATATCTCGTTAAAACTTCACATTTTATATATACATTGCCTCCACAATTACACTAAATTAATGTACACATATAAGTGAAAGGCATAGACAAATTTTTCTTTGAGGAATTGCATTCAAATTTAGAAAAAATTGAAAAATAAAATTAATAATTTTGTGAAAAGTTGACAGTAACATTACCTTGCGTGACAAAGTGAACCGGAAGAAAGGACATATTGAGTTAAGTTAGCTGCTTTTATTCTGTGACAACGATTTTTTGACATTTGTTAATGGCGGTGTTACCATGTTACGCATACAAGTTATTGTGAATAGTCACCACATTTTAAACACTTTTAATTAACAAAAATAATAATATTTGTCGTAAATATTTATTTTTCCATAATTACGTACTTATTTAAGCACGAGTACATTTTTTATAAACAGGATAATTATGATTTACTTAGTGCAATCATATTTTTTCCACCAGTCGGCAAACATTTTAACTTTGGCGATATTATTTTGTTCCTTTTGTGGTTTACGCCATTTCTTCGCATCCAACTCTAGCATTCCACCAATAATTTCCTGAAGACAAAAAAAAAAAACAGAATTAACCAAAGAATTTAAAAAATATAAATATTATCTCACCAATGCAAAATTTTGAGGAAATCTGTCTTCATCCTCAATGACATGCGCAAACCCTGAGCCCATGCCAAAGTTGACCCAAAAATAAGGCAATCCTTTGGGGATACAATTTCGTAGACCTTTACCGTCACGACCCAATGATACCAATTGCTTATTAACACTCCATTCCAGCTCAGATTCTTCGACAGCTTTTTTGAAGTAAAATGGTGCCATTTCTGCCTGTTCATCCGGTATCGGTACACAGTGTATACTCAAATGCGGTCGTCTTGGTAGACGAGTAGCAATTTCAAAAAATACGACATCCTTTTTTTGCGCTTCAAACATTCGCGTAAGCGCTTTGCGAAAATCGTTCACTTCGGACCATGTATCTTCATCCAACTGAGTGCAGCAACTAATATGCTGTGTGGTGCTAATAATACTATGCCCCGATTGCATGCCTATATGCCATGGCAAAGCAAGATACACCTGTGCTCCCAAAGATACCATTAGGCTTTTGTCCATTTTCAATGAATCGAAGCAATATCTACAGTTATCAAGTTGTGCGCTAAGACGTTCATGCTCTGTAATTGCACGCTGCATTTCCCTTCGATCTGTGGACGATTGTAATACATCCTTACGCACTTCATCTGCAAATATGTCGTCCAAATCATCATTGGGATTCTTGTGTTTCCCTGCAATTTTAGCAAACTCCAGATTAGCATCGCTGGCACTAGTATATTTCTCACGTTCAAACTGTTCAAAATATATTTTAAATCGTTAATAAACTTATTTTATGAATTAAATTAGATTTCGTTACCATTTGTTTAATATCATATTTGTCATCATCCGGAAAATATCGCATGCGTTCACCATCTTTATGTGTCTCAAGCCGCTTTTGCTTTTTGCGAGCATTACGCCCACCATATAATTCACGTTCATCCACAGTTCGTGATGCTTGCGACAATGGTCGTGTGTTACCACGTTCGTCAGTGCGTGTCAGCAACACATGCTCATCTTCGTTGCGATTTCGCATTTTACTATTATCCGCGGCGGCTTGCGTAAGTTTTTGCTCTTTGTAGGCAGCACGCTCTTTCCTCGCTTTCTCTAATTGTAACTTCAACTCTGCGGCTAATTCATCATTGCCCATAATTTCCGCTTTCAATAATTTCGCGCCCAGTTCATTCATTTGTTGGTCAGTTAAAAATTTTGTTCTCAAGTTCGGCTTCTCTACTTCTTCCTCTTCACCTCCACTACTTTCAGAGCTGTAAATAGAGATGTTTGCCGAACCTTTCTTTTCAGATAGTAAATCATCTGTTCTTTTCTGCCAGTTCCGTTGTACATCCCGACCGCTGGCTCTATTGGATGTTGATGCGAAAGTCTTTGCTAGTCGTTCATCGTCACTATCCCCGTCATTGTCTACGTTTGGCTTTTTAAAATCCGGTAAGCCAGTGCCTGTGGTTTTCCAATATGGATTTAGTTCTCGAGTGCTCTTAGCCGGATCATACGCTTCATAATTTTGCTTCTCAGTAGATGAAATATCTTTTCTCTCTTTACTGAAAGTTTTCAGAAGTAACGGATCTGTCATCCAGCTATCACGCGCTACTGGGACTGTAGAAGAGGTAGTTTGAGACGGTTTTTCAACCCATTTTTCCAGTTCATCGCTATCACTATCATAATGATCTCTTTTTTTATTAGATGCTTTTCTGTTTTTTTCATCGGAGTAATATTTTTCGGGTTCACTGCGTTTTCTTTTGAGTTCCCTTTTTAACCTTTTGGGCTCGTTTTCTTCAGACGAACTGCTACTACCAGTAGTTGTAGAGTTCGAATCCGAAGATGATGTCGATGAGCTTTCTCTGCTTTTTTTCTTTTTTGAACTTGACTTTGCTGATGTCTTCCTTTCGCCGTCCGAAGAACTGTCATCACTCGGCATATCCCACGAATCTGAACCTGAGGACGAGTATTCCTTTTTCTTCTTCTTCCTTTTCTTCTTTTTAGAAGAACTGCTTGGTTCGCCATCTGATGAACTATCATCACTGTCTATCTCTGAGGTGTCTGGATCCGATTCAGAAGATGAGTACCTTTTACTCTTTTTACCGTGCTTTCCTTTTTTCTTAGACTTTTTTGCTTTCGCCTTTTTCTTTTTTGATCTTTTTGATTCACTAACTTTTTTACCAAGCTTGTCAATTTTTGCGGCTACTGTAGGCAACATCCAATTGCTTTCGCCACGCAATTCCTGGGCTGCTTCACGTTTAAGCCTTTGTTCCCGTCGCAACTTGGCCTTTCCAAAGAAAACATATACATACATATCTCTGCACATATTTAAAGTATACTACGTATGTAAACATTTACCTGATCAAGCATTTGATCTCGCGCCTCCCGGAGCTGTTGGCGTATTCGCTCCTTTTCTCTTGCGCTTTCAAACTTGACAAAGTCCATATTTATGTATATTATATTAAGTATTTGATCAACTTATTTTTGTTTTCTCACAGAAACTACAAAAATTATAGATTTCCTGATTATTGTAGAGTACAACTTCCTATTACCAATTATGAGCTGTCAAAAACTTGCGAAAATCAGCCGTTCAACATCTATTCACAATTGTTATAATATTATCATAAATATTAAAATTGGAAATTTATAAGACAGAGTAAAATTTACTGAGAAAAAATTATTAATTAAAAGAAAAAAATTTATATAAATAAAGTACATATGTAAAAGCAATTTAGTTAAAAAAAAGTATTACATGTCTATATAATTATTTCCCAGTAGCCTAAAATCGATTTACGGTTTCATTGTGAATACAAGCTATTCAAATAAAGATAACTTTGATGACCAACTCCTTGCATTGTAATTTTGATAGTGTCCATCAGGATTGAAAATGCCGCTGTACGAAACTGTAATGCAGGAGAAGCCACCAGTTGTCTTGGACATTGGAACTGCCTACACAAAGTATGTAACTCTGTAAACTTGCTTCATTGTAAAATGTAAGTGACGTCATTTTACTTTTCTCGCAGACTTGGCTTTGCAGCAGAAGCTTATCCACGTAAAATTATACCTTCAGAGGTAATATTGTCTAGCAATGGAAAAACTAAGGCTTTGTTGGATTATGATAGTAACACTGAGTTATATGACCAATTCGTAGACTTTTTGCAAATGATATTCTTCAAGTAAGTAAGCTACATATTTATTCCACCATTTTTAATATCATCACAACTTTAGGCACTTGCTGGTTATACCAAAGGAACGTAAAATCGTCATCGTCGAAAATGTGCTCGGTCAAACAATAATTCGCGAGACACTTGCGCGTGTACTTTTTCGACACTTTGAAGTATCCTCCATCATGTTTGTGCCTTTACATATGGCTGCACTAGCTACTCTAGCTGTCCCCACCGGTATTGTTGTTGACATGGGCTATACCGAAACAACTGTGATGCCAGTTTACTCACGCGTTCAAATACTGCAAGCATTTCAAGATCAAGCATTTGGTGGTCGCGCCATACATGCAGAAATAAAGCGGCAGCTTTTGGAAGCTGGTGTTAATGGGAAACATCTCACTGAATCCATATTGGAAGATATTAAAGTACGTACTTGTTTTGTCACAAATTTTGAGCGTGCAAAGGCATACCGCAAAGGTCAACCACCGGCTGCACCACCTGATCTGGAATATCTCATTAATGGCGAAGAGATTATTATAATACCGGGCACATTACGCGAAACCGTTTTTGAAATAATGTTTGAAGAAAATAACGACCGTGATAGTCTACCGCATTTGATTTTACGTGCCATACTCAGCTGTCCAGTGGACGTGCGGCGGGCACTAATCGAAAGTATTTTTGTAGTTGGTGGTAGCGCTATTATTATGGGTCTGCTGTCACGTCTGCGAGCTGAAATGCAGTATTTAGCGGAAAAGGATGAAGAGTACAAGCAGAAATTGTGCGGTGATATAAAATTCAAGTTCCATAAAACCATTGGACGCGAGAATTTCACTGCCTGGTTGGGTGGCTCACTTTGCGGCGGCACTGATCTCATACAAACACATTCGCTTACTAAAGAGGCTTATGTAAAGACTGATCGTGTGCCTGATTGGATCAACTTGTCAGATAAGCGGGCAACGGCATAACACTGAAAAACTTGAAATAAATTTGATACGGTTAAATTATTAATGGATTGGCATTAGTAACCTAGTGTTAGTAAAATCATATAATTAAATTTAAGTATTTGCTTTTACTTTAATTTTAATTGTTTTTAATTGGCTGGCTTGAGCCTTATCTCCTTTAATTTATTATTATTTGTATAGACTAGTTTGTACAAATCCCACATTAAATGTATACAAATCAATAACTGAATAAAAAATATTTTCACACTAACCCAGTAAATAGAAATCAATTTCAGTACCTTCTTAATGTGCCTTTTATAAGTACTTTTTCCTTTCCCTATTTAGTTGTAAGTAATGGAGTCATAAACCATGCCCTTATCTTGATTATTACGGCGATGGCGCTTGTTGAGGTTGCGAACGACTTTTCATCTTATTTTCCTCTTCGGTAAGCGCTTGCATATTTCGCGTTTGCGTCGCCTCATCGTCATTCTTGTGGTTAGCAAAGTGTACGCGCAACTCCGTTGCCAAACGAAAAGCACTGGGACATAGTTCACACTTATAAACATTTTCACCGAGGTGTGTGCGTAAATGCTTGATTAGATCGTTGCTTTGGGCAAAGGCTCGTTCACAGTATTTACATTTGTAGGGCTTCTCTCCCGTGTGCGTGCGCATATGACGACGCTGGTGATCCATGCATACAAAACTGTAGTGGTAGAAGAATTTATGTTAAATATAAGTTTATGTACAAGAGTTTCGTACGCCAACTCACCGCATCTCACAATATTCGCATTTGTGTGGCTTTTCACCATTATGATACATTTTGTGCTTCTTTAATTGATATCCTTTACCAAATGCATTGCCGCAAATATCACATACATGTGGTTTGATCTGTAGATGCACTGCTTTGTGTGAAGCTAAATCGCTGAGACAGGGAAACTTCTTCGGGCAGTCAGGACACTCATATCGCTTAACACCAGTGTGTCGTAATAAATGTTGTTTCAAATTGCTGTTTACAAAAAGAATATTAAAATTATGTTTAATGTGTATATGTATATGCATGCATATAAATTTACCTGGAACTACTAAATGCTTTTCCACATTCAGAACACAAGTACGGCTGCTCTCCTGTATGTGTGCGCATGTGATCCTTCAGTGTGCTCGATTGCTGAAAACCTGTAGACAATCATAAATTGCATTGAACGCTATAAAAATACACAGAATGGCAAATTATACTCTTTTTGCAATATTCGCAAGAGTAGGGCTTAGGTGTCACTTCCGGATTTTCTACACCATGCTGCAGTCGTTTGTGTCTTGTCAATGTGCGTTGTGAACCATATTTCATATCACACAAATCACAACCATAGTTCATTGCGGGTAAGGCATTTAATTCTTCTGTGTTCTCAATATGTGTTTCTTTATGTTTTTGTAATGTTTCCGCTTTTTTGAAGTGTGTTCCACGTATGTCGCATTTTTGTCCATCTGTTTTTTTATGACGTCTGAAATGTCTTAGCAAGTAGCGACGTGTAGCGAAGGACTTCATACATTGTGTGCATGTATGCGAAGACCTATATAGAAGTATTTAAAGCAATCAAATACGGATCTGTTTACTTATACATACCGGTCTTTGGAAATATTGGTTTTGACTGTCGTTTCGTATAAAGCATTTGCTGTCAATTTATCCTCTTCACTATCAACATCCTCAAGACTTGAGACTTCATCGCTGGTGGTTGTGGTTTCTGCTACTGCTATTGGCGTTTCAATTTCGACTTTAATTTGTGTTGAAACAAGTTGCTCGTTTGGTTCTGAGACTTCACAAACAGTATAACCAGAAGTACATACATCATCATCATCACTTATCTCTCTTTTAAGATACACACTAATATTATTCGACTCATCTTTATTTATTTTAATTATTTCAGCAATGCTCTGGAGTGGATCATCCACATTTAAAGATGTTATTACATTATTTGAAGTTTCAATAGTGTCTAGCACCGGTTCCGGTAGTGTAAACACTTTTGTTTCCGAAACAATCTCTGTTATAGGTTTCAAATCAATATATCGCTTAGCTAGCCACTCTTGGAATTGGTTTTCGGATTGTATGCACATCTGTTGAAAGCGATACACACTCAGCAGTTGCTGTAGGCATACCCGGCATATGTGCTGCGGCAGCTCATCACTTAAGTTTAGTTGTAGTTGTGGCATAGTTCTTGCTAGCAGATCTGCAATGCGCATTGTACCACATTCAGCTACGGTAGTAAAGATAGATTGCAATTGTTGTTCTGCAGCTTCATTGGTGGAAGCGGAAAAAGAGTTCGCCTCAGGCACTTCGTACATGCAAGTACGACAAAGACATTCGAAATGTAACTCACTTTTTGTGTCCATTGCTGCACATTACATTTGTGTAATTTGCTAACACAGGGCTTGGTAAACATCAATTTGAATTTAACAAAATTAATTATAACATATAATTCGAGTGAGTTGTTAAAAGTATTAAAAATAGAAGACGATAACTTAAACCATTCAAAACACAACTAATTTCAGATAACCCACAGGGTTGTATTTAATAGTGCAAAAAGAAAATGTTTACAAAAATGTAGAAAAAAACTATTAAAAAAATATAAAAAAACGTAAAAAGTTATAAGGATCATAAAAATAAAATTAAAGTTATAATTGAAAGTTGTAAAATATAAAA